TACACGGTAAAGCAAACTGAGAATACTGTAAAGATGAGGGAATATCAACAACCCAGAGCTCCAGCAGCAAACCACAACTATTTAGAATTCACTCTCAGGAACACAACTGTGTGTTTACTCCAGTTTAAACTGTTATATAACCAAAAAACAAGACTTTCTCCGAGCAGCACATTAGCAGTCCTCCCCGTGTCCTCCGTGTCTGGGTTCTTCAGGTACATTTTCTAAACAGATCAGAAGTGATTACCACTTTTGCTGATTGCAAACCCGCCACGAGTTGATTTGCTGATTCTCAGTGCAGACCTTGCAATCAGCACGCGAACATCTTTGTGTTTTCGTTGTGTATTTGGCGAATTAATCATCTGATTATGGGTTCGACGCTTCGTGCAGCAGTTTTTGGCCTAAGAAAGGATGGTTTAATCCCCTTTGCTTCTAATGACCTGAATCTCTGTGTTCAGGATGGATGCTGTAAGTAAATGTAACTCCAATTTTGGCTTCAGGGTGTGTGTGTGTGTGTGTGTGTGTGTGTGTGTGTGTGTGTGTGGAGGCTGCAGGTTTGACAGAATAATAAATGGCTTCAGTATACACTATAGTGAATTCAGACCAAAAATAGGGATGTACAGAGTGTAGCGAGCATGGTAATACAGAAGAGAGAACCTGTATTCTGTTACTACACCTTCGCTTCAGCGCTAAACTGAAAAAAAGAAAGAAAAAGAAGCCGAAGTTTGGGCGGAATGATGTCTATAAATCACGGTGTGTTTGCAGGCCTCTGCATAAAGACCGGAGCAGAACAACGAGCGTTTGGAGCGCAGTCGAGGACAAATGTAAGGACAGAAACACAACGAGCAAACACACAATCTGCTGGAGTTTCCTGATGAGGACCCATCTGTGTTTGGACGCATTAAGAGTTTGAAACGTCTTCACATGTCATCGCTGTAAACTTTTACGTCGCCGTGAGTCCTCTGGAGACGCTTCATTTGGAAATCAGACTGATGTGAGTCTTAGATGGAGGGAGGCGTCCATCTGCCTCTGCTCTGCTTTCATTGTTAACTCAGAACCAACACAGATTAGAAGTCTCATGTTGCTGCTGAAAATATCAGATATTGGTTTTATAAAGGTTTCTTCCTATGACTTAAAAATGCAGAAATGTAACCACATGTTCTTCTGTCTTCCCATGCAGCTTGTGTTTTCCATATTTTTGCATTTATATATCTGATTTTCACCTCTGGCCCGACACAACAAAGGTTAAGGGAATTACACTGATAGGATTCATCAGTTTGCAGCGGGACTAGACAGCAGCTCATATCAAAACTGTTGACAGCGTGTTCTGAGGATTATCCACAGCAGATATTACATTACTTCCGGAGCTGTTGATTGGTTTTAATGTATACATACATATATAGATATATTACTTCCTTTATGGTGAGCACCAGCTGACCTCCGCTGTAATGACGGATACAATATTATAATAGATGGCGAATCAAACCACAGATACCTGTGATCATTTGGGTGAACTGACCCTTTAAATTACATTCTGCTGCGCCACAGATTGCATTTACATGAGAACCATATAAACCTCTTACATGTAATCCTGCAATATTAAACAACCGCCATGCTCATTGAAATTCACAAAGATTTGGATGTCAACAAATTCAAATACACATTCCTGCCTTGTGTCCATGTGTTTTGGATTTGCCTAATACCTGCCTGTTCTGAAAAGTCACATTAGCATGTGGTGCATTTCCATATTTGTCCGGGGCACTTCCTGCCTGCTTTGGAGTCAACTATATTCATGAGACGGGGCTGATGGAGCCTCTGGGTTTGGAAAGCGAGCGTGGATGTATATGCATGTGTGTTTGTGTACACGTTTCATCTGGTTTTGCTGTGGGACCAGCGAGGACCTTCCTGTGTGATTAAAGAGGAACACAGAGACTCTGGTGTTTGGATTTGCTCAAACTAAAGAGAAAGAAGGCTTCTTCACTCTCACGTGTTCTCACCACACAAAGACGGGGAGGAAACAGCATGAAGAGAGGTTACTGCTCCAGCAGCTTGGATTTGCTTTTTTATCATTAACTATGGATATTTAAAATGGTATCTGTAAAGCTTTAGATGGTTAAATCAATTTATTAGTTTATTGTCATGTTGCTGTACAGACACAGCAGCACAGGCAGGATGAGAGAGCGTTTCTTCAGGATCATTTAATAGTTTTGCAGAATGAACGTCTGGGATAGAGACACTAAACTTTCACTTTTGTTCAAGTAATCTATTACTTTCCAAGATATATCTTAAAAATGTGCAGGTCGAGCTACTTTTATCACGTGTTTTTGGTACGATGACATTTGAGGTGATGTTTGAACGACATTATTTTTAGAACTATTAAAAAGAAAATCCTGAGAATCTGCAATTTTGGGCAAGTTAGAGCTCTGTTCGACTTGGATTTGGTCATCTAATAACACTGTTACTACCACTACTACTGATATACACATGCAATCAGTTATAAAAGTCAAACAGAAACAACTTTCTTTTCATGACCACGTATTTTGTTTTACATCATGGAGGAATCTGATAGCGGTCCTACAGATGGCAGGCAGGCTGTGGCACAAAGTCAAACCAGTTTTATTTAACCAAATGTGGGCAGCAAAAACAAAAGAAGGTTGGAGAATCCAGGAGAACACAAGGTCCACACATCCAGAACGGTACCAAAACTCCACCCAGGTGAAAACCACAGGGGCACGAGGGAGACGAGTGAAGCAACCAGGCAGGCAAACATGAGGTAAGTAAACAGGAGGGAAGCAAGAATGGTGAAAAAAAACTAAACCAGAAACATATGAGGAGGAT